TGAATGCTCGTTTAACCTTCACTTGTACTTCATTTGAGTGTAAATAATAATCTTTATAACTTTGAAGGCTTAAACACTCAGTTCAATTTGTTAGTAAATAAGATGGACTTGTTTGTTATAATCAAAACATTAAGGTCATGATCAACCATAGGTCAACAATTTTTCAGTTACATATTGTCAAATTTTTAGGTTACAGTTAAATAGTTGATCACAGATAACCAAATACTTGGTCACATACAAATGACACTAATATATCAGCCACTTTTGACCACCCTCACCCTGTCGCTGCCATCACCACCACGGCCACCAGCATCACCGCCTCCGACCAGCTCCGTAAAACATCACCACCACAGATCCATACGAGTTTATCGCCACCACACAAACAAGAACTAACCGACCTCAGAACACACGACCGGACGAATTAATTGGTCACAGATCGACCAACTAATTGGTCGCAAATACTCTCCTTCAACCCCACCGCAACACCACCACAACCATCGGCACAACAATACCAAAAAGCAACAACAACCACCAACACCGAGCTTTTTACCACCGCAAAATCGCAGCTTCAAAATCCACCAAACGTTGCTGCGAATCGGAGCAGCGCGCCGCTGTGAATCACAGCGGCGGTCAGCAGCGTGCAATTCACAGCAACGACGATCACGCTGCTGTGATTCGCAGCAAAGTGAGAAAGGGGGAGGGAGGGGGAGGGGAAGAGACGGGCGGCACCAACACCGAGCTTTTTACCACTGCAAAATCGCAGCTTCGAAATCCACCAGACGCTGTTGCGAAAACCACCAAGAAACCCACTAGACGATGCTGCGAATCGCAGCAGCGCGATTCACAGCAGCGTCTTCTCAACCGTCACTGCGATTCACAACAACGTTGACGCTGCTGTGATTTGCAGCAAAGCGAGGGAAGAGGAGGGGAAGAGACGGGCGGCAGGCAGTGGAGGCGACGGTGGTGAGAGTGGGAAGAGAAATGGTTAGAGAGTTGATTTAGGGTTTTAAAATGAATTTGGTGGGGGTAGATAGTAGGGTGAGTATATATGTTAATTTAATTTTATAATGTTAATTTAATTTTATAATGTTATTATTAATATTAATTGTGAAATTAAAACGTGATTTTTGATTAAATAAAGTCCAAACCTGATCTTTAAATAACTGTTTTTTTTTTTTTTTTTTGTAATTTCCTCTAATTTTTATTGCATACAAAAAAAAATTACTTACAAGCTAAAAATTAAATTTTTATTACTCCCAAAAAATTACTTACAAACCCATAAAAATTCGTATTTAAATAAAATTTACTTGTAAATATATGTGACTTACAATTAATATTAGACAATCATGCTCTAAGGTCGTCGTACACTTTAAAAAATAGATTTTTTTTTTGGGTGCTACTTAGAGCATGTCTGGCATTGATTTTAAGCAGAATTCCAGCCGTTAAACTACCAAAAAAAAGCAGTAATCTGACCGTTTTAACCGTCATTTTTTATCATTTCACTCACGGGTGGGATTAGATTCCTTACAAACAGTCAAATAATCAATTATGAAAACCAATGCCAGACAGGCTCTTAGATTCTAAAATTCTAAAATTTGTTAATATATCCCTTATTAATTAAATATCTGTTTTTTTTATGTCAAATATGATGTCTCCTATCTCAATCGAATGTTAGTGGCTATTTCAAAATTCAAGATTACTCTAAAGATCTAGTGTATGATAACGAAGAGTAAAGTCAGGGCACGCGAAAGTGCAGTTTTCTAGCTGTTTCATTACACTTCTCGTCTCCGATAAGTAAATTTTTATTTACACTTTCAGTTGGAGGTCCGAACCCTACTCTTAATTCGCAATTTTGTTTATTTTTATTGTTAATAAACTATATCAAAAAATAAATATACAACCTAATAAAATATTGGACATTTGCCAACCTGTTAACAGAATATTAAGAATGGCTTACACTGATTTCGGAGCTAAATAACCTCCCAACCATGAAACTATGATGGTGTCTTTCACGTTTATTCCTTGTTGCCATTCTCTTTGGTCTCCCCCAAGAAAATTAAATAAAAAAAAAAAAAAAACTTGAGTTCTTCACATTTTCAAACTCTTCTCTTTCTCAATATTGTTGGGGGAGAAAGGGTTTGAGTTTCGAGGTTTCGGGTTCGGATAGTTCTCCTAAAGAAGAAGAAAGCCAGAAGAAAGATCGATGTCGCAAAATGCTGCAAATGATGCATGTTCATGGTGGTGGGCTAGCCACCTTAGGACAAAGCAATCAAAATGGATTGAGCAAAGACTTCAAGGTATGATTTTTCTATATGGACATCGTTCTATAATCAAAATATATTTTAATATAGTCGATCATAAATTTATTGATCATACTATGTTGTCGTTCTTGTTGTTGGTATTGCCTAAAATACATTTTAATATAATCTTTTTCAATTAGTTATTTCATATTTTGCCTAAATTTTTTAAGAGCCTGTATATCAAAGAAATTGACGAAAATAATTGCTTTTCCTACCGTTGCGGATCACGTCAGACGCAATGTTTGACAGGCCATGAGTGGTGCGGGCCCTACTAACGGTCACTTTATTGATTAAAATTGGCCCAAAATGACCACCAGACAGACTCTAAAACTATCAAACACTAGATACCTAGAATATAAAGTTTTCCATAAAAGAGAAAGAAGAGCTGACGATTATTAATAGTAATTATGAGTCTTTTTCGACCACACACTATTACGAAGAATGTTGTCGTCGTCGTCGTCGTTGTTATTGTCGGTTGCTTTTTCATTTTTTGCCAAAACTTTGTAAAACTAGCCAACAAAAGATTATGTTTTCCATAAAAGAGAGAGAGGAGTAGATATTAATAAATAATAATTATGTTTAATTACGTTGATATGAATTTCTTGAATTTTTCCTTTCACTGGATTGAATCTTTTCGTTCTATATTGAGATTGCATCATCCTTATGAACACAAGTCTACGGGGAAACGTGTCCCAACTCCAACAACAAAACTTGTCATTCCCTTGTCTTCGGTCGGTGTCATCTTGTGTTGTTGATGTCCACACATCCACTTCATCATAATCATTTCCTATACATTTATGTTGTGGACTCTGATGCATCACAACTCTAGTAGGGGATCTTTCGATGAAATGCATATTGGGTTTTGTATGATACAAGATTTGACGAAGTTTTACGCTGACCGTCAACCAACCGACTATGAAAAACCTGTTATATTTTCAAAATAAGCTTAGCTAACTAATGTGTTGTTAAATGCAGATATGGAAGTGAAGGTGCAAGATGTGCTTAAGCTCATCAGCGAGGATGGAGACTCCTTTGCCAAAAGAGCTGAGATGTACTACGAGAAGCGGCCCGAACTGATACAGTATGTAGAAGAATCTTTTCGTGCCTTTCGAGCCTTGGCCGAACGATATGACCACCTATCAAAAGATCTGCAAAATGCCAACCATACGCTTGGTACTGTTTGTCCAGAAAAGTTGCGATTTGCAATGGACGAGGACGATGAATACGGTAGCCCTGAATTTGGAAAGAATTCTGATGCTCCGAAGCTTAACAAGGCAGCGATAAAATATTTGAAACATCTGAAAACAACAGGCTGGGAGCAATTGCAAACCAATAAGTACTCAAAAGCAGTAGAGAGTAATGAAGTCGTTGAAAAATCCGGTTTAAGTAAAAGTGAAGCTCTTGAACAGATTGACAAGCTTCAGAAAGAAATTCTCGTGTTGCAAACTGTAAAAGAGTTTGTTAAGACCTCTTACGAAAGTGGGATTGCAAAATATTGGGGAATCGAGAATCAGATGATGGAAATGCAGCAAAAACTCTGCAGGTTACGAGATGAATTTAATGTTGAAACCGTCGTTGAGGATGATGAGGCTCGAACTTTAATGGCTCAATCGGCATTGAAGTCATGTGAAGAAACTTTGATTCATTTGCATGAGAAACAAGAAAGATATATCCAAGAAGCGAGAGAGGAATACAAGAAGATTGAAGATGCTAGTCGTCTACTGAAGTCCCTCAGGCCCGAGTATCTTAATGATGAAACTGATAAAAAAGCACCAACTGAGAGCTCAACTAAAGAAGTGGACGATGAGATACAAGAGAAGCACGAAGTCAAGGAAATACTGGAGAAAAAAGAGCCCGAGGATCCAGGCTCCTCGGAATCTCTCTCTGTCATGGAATTGACTGAGAATATTGATGAACTTGTCAATAAGGTGATCAGCCTAGAAACTGGAATGTCATCTCAGACTGTTCTTATTAATAGATTAAGAACAGAAGCTGATGATCTCCATGCACAGATTCGGGATTTGGAAAACGAAAAGGAGACTCTAATTAATGGAACGCATAATAGGAGTAGCAAGGTGAAAGAATTGGAGGAAAAATTGCACATGCTTCATGAGCTAAATAAAAATGTGGAAGATCAAAACCACAATCTCCATATGAACTTTGTTGAAGCTCGTTCGAGTCTTGATCACTTGTCTGAAAAACTGACTAGTGTGAAGCCAGACGAAGCACCGGAGGTCACTGATTCATTGCAAGATGACAAGGGGCATGTTGTTAAAGTCGAGTTGCAAGACGCGCCAAGTCCTGATAAAAACCTTTATGCTTCAAAAACAGAAGATGGAGTGCAAGTGAAAGATGTGGATATAATGCAGCAGGGTCGGGAGGCATCTGATAATATTCCACAAACTGAAAGTGAAAAGGCGACTAAAAAAACTGTCACGTTTTTGGACCCAAAAGCAGAGGAAGAAGTTTCTAAAGAACATTCAACCCAAAGAGGGAATGAGCTTCTCAACAATAAATCACAGGAAGATGAAGAGAGAAAAGAAGAGCTAAACTGGCAGCTGATGCTCTTGAATGGACTAGAGGACAGAGAGAAGATTATGCTAACAGAATATACTGCGATTCTCAGGAATTATAAAGACGTGAAGCGTAAACTTAGTGACAAGGAGAAGAAAGACAAGGACGTACAATTTGAGACCACAGTGCAAATGAGAGGAATGAAAAATGCTATTGCCAAAAGGGATGCAGAAATTCGACAATTACGAAAAAAGTTGAACCTTCTTCAAGGGAAATTGGGTGAAAATAATGATTTTGAATTGAATGGTCATGCCAATCTTCCCATTACGAACGAAGAAGATAAAATCAAGTTCGTCTTCATTGATAAAGATCCTGCTATTTCAGTTGTTGAGGAAAAGCTCCAGAGGGATATTGATGCAATACTAGATGGAAACTTGGACTTTTGGTTAACATTTAGTACTGCATCTCAGCAGATCAAGAACTTCAAGACTGAGGTCCAAGGTTTACGGGACGAAGTTGCAAAACTTGATGAGAAAAAGAAACAAGAAGGAAGCATTAAACCGGACCTAAAACCAGACTGCCAACTAATATACAAGCACCTGAGAGAGATACAGACTGAACTAACAGCGTGGGTGGAGCAAAACGTGTCCCTAAAACATGAACTAAACTGCAGATTTGAATCTTTATATCATGTTGAGGAAGAAATCAAAAAGGCTTTCGATGGTCCTGAAGAAGACGAAATTATCTTAAGAAGTTATCGAGCTGCAAAGTTTCAAGGCGAGATTTTGAATATGATACAAGAATATAAGAAGATTGAAAAAGAACTTCAATCAGGTTTCGATGACGTGACTGCATTCCAACTCGAAAGTGAAACCACACTACAGAAGTTGAACAATGAATTTGGTATTTCGGGTTCTCAACAACAGTCGAGGCATTCCATGAACCGGCCTCGAGTTCCATTACGAGTATTTATCTTTGGAACTAAACCAAAGAAGTACAGGCGTTCGTTCTTCTCTTGTATAAGGCCTAACAGAAAAGTCCAGGCCCTGAGAGGAGGCATATATTGATTATAACTGTTTTTTCCCGTGTTTGTTTATAATGAACTGTATTATTTTTGTTTTAGAAGTTCATATAAGTGAGAAGTAACTATTAATAGATTTTATAGAGGTTTTCCTCTATTCATTTTGGATTTCTGAAGCTGAAAGTTTTTGTGTTATAAACAGCCAGATTATTCAATAATCAAATTAATTCTGAGAAAACACGTTTGGATATGATAATAAATTCCTAGAAAATGTCTTTGTGTTCAAATTGATGGAGCATAAATGCTTTCTTTACATGTCCACCAACATGGCAACATTACCACTATAACAGACAAGCTCCGAACAAGAGCAACTTCATCCATAAAGACCACTTCGACACTGAAGCCATGACGACAAAGAAATTTCAAGAACCGAGTCTTAGGGCCTGCTTGGGAGTTTTAGCTTCACCGGTTTTGGGTGGCATCGTTTACGAGGGGTTGGAAGCACGTGTACTTGCTAAATTTTTTGGACACCGATTTTAAATAGTTTAAAAACCACCCAAAAACGGTGTAATGTAAGTTTAATCAGTTCTCTCGACCCCATCAAATCAACGATTTTTTATCGTTTCTCAAATTCTCCTCTACTTTTACCCTTTATAAAATAATTATTTTCAATAAACATATTTTGTTTAATACTAACTTTTAAATAAAAATATACTAAGTAAAAAAATTATTTATAAGCAAAAAAATTATATTATAATTAAAAAATTATAAAATATTACTTACAAGATAAAAATTATTTTTTTGTATAAAAATCTAACTAATAAGACAAAAAATCACTTATAAAATATAAAAATTTACTTATAAATAAAAAATTCGCTTATGTGTAAAAATTATTTAAAAGTACAAAATTAACTTAAAATTATAAAGTTTATATAGAACTAAGAAATATTAACATAAAATTTTAAGTAAATATTTAACTTTATTTAATTTTTTAAAGTTAAATATTAACTTATATGTTAAAAAATTATATATAAGAAAACATCACTTATAAGTAAAAGATTTCATACAGGAAACCATAAACTCAAAATTTCACTAAGACACATATATGTAACTTTACTTTCTTAAAAAACTTTCAAAATCGGTGGAAAATAAACTCTAAGTGTGGGTTAGACTGTTTTAAAAATCACTACTAAAACATCTCATAATTGATTCGCTCATAAACGATCAAAATCGATACGTCAAAACTCCCAAACAGACCTTTAAGGACGAAGGCTAAAAGTTACTTGAAATTAGTTGGCTTTAGAGTACAACCTATTTCTAAAAGGATAAAGCTGTTTGTACACCAGATGTATGTACACATGTCTCACATGAATAGTGTGTACGAATATTTTATTGTGTATGGGACCCCCCTCCATGTGAGGGGGTATAAAAGATTGTGTGAATGATTATGTACATGTAGCATGATTGTTTCTAAAAAAGACCATGTTTGATGTACACCTTGGTGGGGTCCTCGATTGCGAAGCCCACGCGGGCCCCACCCCTATGTGAGAGGGTTGTCAAACTGAATGTACACCAAAGGGTATACATTCAGCATTATCCTTCTAAAAATTCCATTACTTGGACCAATCATCACCACCAAGAGGGTTAAGGTCGACCTCGACCAAATACATCAACAAACAAGGAAGAAAATAGAAGGAAAAAGATCTGCGGAGGAGGTAAACAGACTAAACCCAATCTTCGGCTTGCCATATAAATTATTAAACTCATTGATTACAATTGGCATTCAGGTCATCATTTAATTTTACTTGACTCAACTACTTGTTCAGTATAAAGAAAAGAGATACTGATTCGACGTTGGAATGAACCTAGAATTTATTTTTGTGCAACGTACAAATTATATAACCAGCAATTGCAGTGGAGCAGAAAAATCCTTTTTCACCGTGGAGAATGTCGAGTTTGAAACTTGTCGAGGAATCTCTTCTGTAAAGTCAATGTTCAAAACATATCAAAAGAAGCAAAAATGGAAAACAACTATAATATGATGAGATGTGACTGACTTGTGTATATACCAGCGCAAACTCATGATCAGTTATACGAGCAAGAGCCAGATACAATAACCTTAAGATCTTCGTTACCATATTCCAAATGTTCTTCCAGAATTCGCATAGCAGAATTTCAAACATTTTCACTACAAGAATGTACCTTAATCGTCACTAGTGTTGGAATAGGGCCTAATTCAGAAGAAATTTCCTCAAGATAGTAGCAATTTTGCTAAACCAATTGTTCGAGCCTAGGGAAATGATCCCTCTTGATATTCCATTGTTCAAGTTTCAAAAACTTGAGCTTCTGGAATGCAACATGTTTTGTGTTCCATATTGGTCCCTCAAAGGCATCATATACTAATTTGAGAATCTCAAGGTTGCTCAATGTCCCGATTATTGATATATTTTCCCAAGGCAAATCGATGCAGGATAGAGTAAGTTGTTCATGAAAATATATTTTGAAGTATAACCGCCGCAAGTGTACGATCCGTTAACAAGTAATTAAGTGGAGTTGAGTCCAAGTGTCGTCCCACAACAGAGATTGATTAGTTCAATTTTAATTATCGCAACCTTAATCGAAACTAGAATAATATGAAGTGTTGCTTGTGATAAAATAATGAATAAATTAATCTACCTATGCAATTATGAGTAAATTAACTAAACTAAATGCAAATTATATTAAATGCAAATTGATGTGTTTAATAAATGACAAACGCAATAGGATCACGAATTTCCATGCAATAATACATTTTAACCTCAGTTCTACACTTTTACAACACGATTGAATTTTGAAGAATCAATATTCCTATTTTATTTAACAACCTCTCTGGGGTAATACTCAACTATATTTTTATGAAGGATGCGAATATACAAGAATTGTATGAATTTTTATAATACTTAAAGATTCACATAGAGTATAGTGGTATATTTCTATCCCCTATTGAACCCTATGACAATTTATATATGTCGAACACATTTCCCTTCTTTCGAATGCATAAAATAGGCAACCACATTCACACAACTATCGTGCACAATAATTATGGAGAAAAGAAAATCATATAAATCATTTAATATCCAAAAAATGTTTTCAATGTCAAGTATGTAAAACTAAAGATTCAAAATTCATATTATACGATTCATCATTCTCCTAGTACAAAGAAAATTAGCCTAACATGTTATGAGAAAGAAAACAAAAGAAATATTGAAGAATCGACATTACCTAAATAAAGCTTAAATTGAATCTTCGATTCTTAGAATTGATTTTTATATTTCTTGTCTCCTTCTATTCTCTCGAAGTCTCTTAGAATGTGTTGTAATGCGTGATAACCAGCTTTGGACGGTTCTAGATCTTTAAAAGACGTCCCTAGATTTGTTTCCATAAGAGTTAAAATCATATAAGGAAACTAGATTTTTTCTCCAAGTACACTCCCATGCAACCGCATAAATAAATGAAATTCACTCCTTCAATTCCCTGAATCTAAACATGAGACCGCATGGTATTTACACTATGCGATCGCATAGTTTAATCTAAAATCCACAAGTTTCATTTTAGTCCATGAACTTCGTTTTCTCGTTTATTGATCTTTTTTCTCACTTCTTCTTCTTCCAACACTTCATTCATTTTCTCAATTGGTTTTTGATTCTTTCATATCTTCATTTCTTATTTTGGATAATCATTTGAATATTTGCACTTTGGTCCCTGAGCTTTGATTTTCTTCTATTTTTGTCATTTTTCGCTTCTTTTTTCTAAATTTCATAGTGTTCATCAATGTTATCCTACAAAATATAATTTATATGGAACTAAGCCATATTTCGATATATTTACCAACAATTGTCTATATTTTGTACCCTAAATAAGTGTATATAACATACTTGTCAAATCCTCCAAATTTGAACAATTGTTTGTCATCAAACAAACTATAGCTTAACTCTAAACAAAACATGGTTTGACAACCTGTCGTGTTTCAGGATTGGAATCCAGTAGTCACATAATGACTAGTTTCAATAGTACTAATCAAATCAATCTCCACCTATTATATGTAGAACTTGACGTGAGTGCGTGTAAAGTCATGTAAATATACTTAGCTCATGATGGCTCAACTCCTAACCCACAGTAGTCAAATATTTTCTTTCTTTTCTCGAGATATGCAAATCCCCCAAACTTATTTAATTCTGCTCCTTACCCTCTCTTAGTTTAGATGAATCTTACTATCACAAATTCATATTTCAACAAGTTGAGATTCTCCTATATTTTTCACTGCATCAACCTTTAAGATTAAATTAAGTTACTTGTCTCATATCAAAAGTATAGTTCTATTAACCAAATGTCTTATGAGCTTAATCAATGTTATTGTGCTTTTTCTTAACTATTATTATTTTTCTTCTATTTTTTTAAAACATTTTCTCATTTGTTTTCTATATAACCTATGTAGTGAGTTTGAGATTGATAACTCCCAAGTCAGATGACCATATGACCCCAGGTTTATTCATCCGAGTTATACATGCTCAAAAAGATGAATTTATCCACACATAAATTAGTGCTATGCTCATTTTCTTTTAGATGTTTAGCCTCCAAAACCAACCTCTAACTTAAGATTTTCACCACGTCTTTGTCTCATTTGTTTTAGACAGCCCACACAAGATAGTTTCATGCACGGAACCTCTACTCATCTCTATGTTCTCATATTATAGCTAACACACCACAAACTACTCTATAAATGGATTATGGATAAATACAATAGAGGTTATTCATGTCTAACTTACTACATTCAACTCTTCTCTAAGTAATGAGCCAAATCACCAATTTAATGTGTAAAACTTGAGTGTTGTGCATAAACATGAGTGTCGTGCATAAAAAATCAAGTTTCACATAAACAAGTATTGATTAATCTAATCACGCAGCATTTCCACCATTTATAGCCCATGCTTATTCCAATATTCAAATATCATTGTTGGCTAGATTATCAAACCCACACAAGCATACAAAAAAATAAGCAAATACTAG